GAAGATGTTACCTAGCCGGGTAACAAAACATTTGCAAGAAAACAACCAAGCTCAGAGAACCCCAAGGACTCCACAGGAGGTGACTAGAGCATGAGTGACTGTGAGCAGAGCCTCCCAATCCAGGAAAGGGTGCAATTGGTGCACAACACGGAGTTGTGCGAAGGCCCCCCAGCCGCGACTGCCACCTGCTCTTCGAGCAAGAGTGGCAAGTCAAGGAGGACCCCCAAATTGTGCACTGGGTCTGTCCAGGGCAGTGCTACCCCATCCAGCAACAAAGATGGTATAGTCCCAGAACTGGCAGGACCCCGAACTCAAAGTCACTCAGTCTTGCCAGGGTTCAACTGAAGCCTGTTGATCCCCATCCAGATCCTGGCTAGATATTTGCCTGCCTGTTTTGTTGCTACAACTCTCCATAAAACAAGGGAGCCAACATGTTATGCAAGGCTAGTAAGTCTTTAAATTAGTGTATATTATGCAGTGATAAAATACAAATAATATTGCTTTGTAATAGCTGTCTCCAATATGGTGCCCAGATATCTTGGACTTCAGCTGCCATCATCTCCCAGCTTTTACCAAACTGGGCTGTGATTATAGAAATTAAAGCCCAGTATTCTTGGAGGACACCAGGCTGATGAAGGGTGTTCTGAGATAATATGTTTGCTCTAAATTAGAATACATTCTAGCAATTTCCTTAAAAAAAAAAAAAAAGCTGAGAGAGATATTGAATTCTACTCTGTAGCCATAAACAAACCTATATTGTCATATAAAACAGTATTAGCTATACTGATTATCAGAAAAGCGTGCAACTATTTTAATATTCAGATGGCTTAATATAGGAATTGTTTCAATTGGGGAGTCTGAATATTCTCATAGATAGTGTAGTTTAACAGTTTTCAGATGAATTTTTAGAACTTCATGCATTTTAGTCCCATGGTGCCCTTCCGTCTAGTAATTAGTTATCTAGTTATCCAAATGTTGACCTTCTCTAAGGCTCCTTGGCTAATCGTTTGTGCAGGAAACATCAAAGTAGCATCTCCAGAATGAACTCCTGCATCTTCAACGTGCTCAGAGATGGCATGGCAGACAACCTGTTCCAAAGAGCCAGGAAAATGCAGTCATTTTATAATACTCTGAAATCTTTGGTTTAGCCAGTTCTAAACATGCAATCTATAATAGGTGAAGTTACTATCAAACAAAAATATGCATGCATTATATGAATACACCTAGATGGTTTTCTAGAATTAACTAACCTGTGCCATGTTTAACTATATACTTTAGCTTATGTGCAACTACCATAAACCCCAAATATTTTATCTTTCCAGTCTTCTTCCAGTATAGACAATTATGGATATTGTGTATATACAGTATACACAACTGGGATTAAATGACATGTATAGGATTGCATTGTAAACATAATTTTGTTCTATAATTTTAGAATTGGCAATTTGTCCCTGATTCAGATTTTTTTTTTTTTAAAGTTGGATTTAACTGAATTATTTTTCTAGATATCTCCTGGCTTCAGAGAAGTAATTTAGCACAAGGGTTAAAGAACTGAGCAATCAGTGAAGAAATTTACATCTCACTCACAAATCTCATGAACTTAGGAGAGTCATTCTGACTCAGTCCTTCCTCCTGCTCCAATATGATGATACTGACATTTTTACAGGGTCATTGTAAAGACAGAAAATATATGCAGAGCACTTCAAACAACAAGAATGGCTTGTTATCATTAATAATAATATTTATTATTACCACTACCAATTACATCTGCTAGGTCCTTCTGCATATGGATAATGTCAGAACAGCATAACAGGTTTCTAGGTTTGAGGTTTCTAAGCACAATTAATGCACATTGGTGGACTTATAAAATCCTGCTAAAGATACATTTCGCTCTCTTCACTTAGTAGGGATAAATGGGAGACATAGAGGGATTACACAACCTCTTTCTTTCATCTATTTGTCTCTGCTTCACTTTTCCCTGATCGGAAAAGGTATTTCCTCCTTTCTTCTCTTTTCCTTCACAATCAGGAGGGAAAGCACAGAGAGACACATTTTTTGTCACAGCATGTCATTCCTTAATAGACCTGACATGAACATTTGGACTGTAAGCATTTGGCTCCGTGGGCTTGGTTCTATGTGTTACACATATATGCTCTGCTAAATATGATTCAGTGAATTAGTTAGAGGATTTCAGCCAGGGCTCTTCCCTACACAGAAGAGAGTTATGGGACCAGGGAATGAGAGAACTGCCAAATTAACTGTGAGAAAAAGAAGAGTATTCAACGTGGTGACCAGACAAATGAGAAATGGTTAGGTCATGAATTTGAGCTGTGGCCCTTCAAAATGCAATTTTTCTGGGAAATCCAGAAGTCTGCAGTGTTTTGTAAACTCTGTGATCAGCAGAAGCAGGAAAAATGCTGAATGTCAATGCTGGAGGATTCCAATCAGGATTGTGTCATTTTTTTCCCCTACACAAAATTCAGGGAATGTCTATCAAATTGCTATGGTCAGTGGCAATGATAAATATCTTGTACTGTGTGGGTTATCAGACTAATCTGTTATAGCACTACTATACATTAAGGCAGAGAAAGATGCCCAGTATCTAATGGCCTTCGTGAGGTTTTTAGGGAAAGGTTATTGTCACTGAACAGTGCACCCAGCAGTATACCATGGAAAGTTGAAAGGCAAATAAGCAAAGGTGACAGCTTTTCAATGTGTTACAAACAGTGTTAGGTAAATGCAATGTTCCCTGCTGAAACTGAAAACAATGAAAGTAATTCTAAAGAGCAAAAGCAAGCAATATGATCTTGAAAGAAGCTCATACTGGAAAAAACAGCTTACTGACAAAATATTTCTCAAGGCTAGGTGGTTATATAAAATCTGTGTTCAGTCTGCCTTTGTTTAGCTCATCTGTAAAGAACATCTATCTAGAGTTTAAAATGGAACATTTGTCAAGTCTCTCTACGATTGTTTTATAAATCCAGGAAGAAAAAGCAAAGCAGAGAAATGTCTACCTTTCCATTCTTTGCAACTGCATCCATTTCCACCTCTCGAGCTCCTTCAATGAATTTTGTTAGGACAACAGGGTGTTCCTGTTATTATAAAGAGTGAATGTATTCAGCATTCAAGTTAGAAAACTTTAAGAAATATTTAACTGAAATGAAGAGGTAAAGTAAAAAAGAAAAAAAAAGTAAGAAAATTGCTCTCACAAAGTCTTCATGGCTCTGGAGAGTTTAAAATGGAAATTAAAACAGTTGTAACAACACTGAAATCAATTACACACATCTCACTAATTTTAAAGGAATGCAGACCTGAGTGTACACTGTGGCTGTCAAAGTCTGCATTAAATCACTTCATGTGTGGAAAGTCAATCATTCCCTC